AGATGGAGGAAAGCCAAAAAGCGCGACTTCAAGATAAAAAAGGTCACCAATAGGCATGATGACGCCTTGATAAGGCTAGACCGTGTTTCATGGATAGTCTCTCCATCATCTGGTCGTGATGGGGATCAAAACGTACGTGTTAGCAGTGAAGAAGACCGTGAGAACTGGCATGTTCAGGTAGGGAAGCAAAAGTTTCAGTGATTACAGCTTAATCGTACAACTCATTTCAATGAAAACTTTACACAGATTGGTCAGTTTTGACTCTTGTTTGATAGGTATTCAGGTCCATTGATTCGGGATCGGTGAAGGGATTTCCAAAGGGTGTTCAGGATGCTGAAGCTCAGGTTAGCAGAACTAGCTTTATTCGTATGTATTCCTCATAGAGTTTTCTATTTATTATTCTTTTTACTCGAGATTATGGAGTTAACTGCCAACTTGATTAGTTAGTCCTACCAGGCTTTTTGTTCATTAATCATAAACAGACAGGTCAACTTTTAGAGCATGCTATCTGCGTTTAGAGCTTTCATCAAATTTGTGCAACCAAAAAAAAAAACTCCTTTTAATCTGGGTTTCTCTTCTTGCAGAATCTTATTTGTGGAAAGAATTTGAAAATAGATAAGAGCATCCATGTTGCATATATTAAAGCAATAAGATCAGCGCAGCGCTTTATATACATAGAGAACCAGTATTTTGTTGGATCTTCGTACTGCTGGCCATCCTACAAAAATGCTGGTAAATTACAGCTTAGTTGCTGATGCTGTTATGATTACACTTTCAACTACTAATATCTGGTTGCTTCAGTACGTCATCCTTTTTAATACACCGACATTCATGTTATTTACATTGTTCATATTTTTCCCTCTCATTTTTCATTATATAGATTGTTACATTACCGTCAAAGTATATGTGTCAACACTCTGATTTTCTACGTAGAGAGAACTTTCTCCTGGCTCATATAGATACATTGTGATTTTCTACATAGTTCAATTTGCATATCTGAAGATGCAAATTGAAATACCTTCTGATGTTGCAGATGCTAAATCCAAATATTCTTAGCATCTTTTATTTGAAATTAATGTCCTTTGAATGTACAGTTTTTCGTTCTCTTTAAATATTTTGCAATATCGCCACCACATTTTTTGGACATGTGTTTGAGATCTTGGTGTTATAACAGGCGCAGATAACTTGGTCCCAATGGAACTGGCCCTAAAAATTGCCAGCAAAATCAAAGCAAATGAGCGTTTCTCTGTGTATATAGTAATACCTATGTGGCCAGAAGGCGTGCCAACAGCCTCGGCTGTTCAGGAAATTTTATACTGGCAGGTTAGACCATTCTATCGTTTGTAACACTGCAAAAAACTCCTTAATCTCTTTACCTTTAAAATGTGTAAAATAAAAAAAAGTTGTCAACCATTCTTTCTTACTTTGTAGAGCAAGGTTCATACTTTAGAATGTATAGAAAGGTTCATATTTTGTATGCCTTGAATGATATGGTAATTTTTGTTAGCTTGATATGTATTGCTGGCCTATTCCCTAACAACTTAAATTTTTGAGGTATAGTGGTTGTCTAAATCTATTTTACCACAGGCACAGACAATGGGTATGATGTACCAGGTCATTTCAAAGGCCCTTGAAGATGCAGGCCTTTTTGATCAGTATCATCCACAGGATTTTTTGAACTTTTACTGCCTTGGTCAGCGTGAAGCCCCATCTTCAACTTCATCCCAAACTAATCAGCCAACCGATAATCGTGGACTGGTATACTTATTTCTCCATTCTAGTAAACCAGTAGTTAATATTTTATTGCACACCAAATGCATTATGCATAGACAGGTTCTGAATTCTGATGGCTTTAAGATCAAACGAAAAGCCATTAATGTGTTTCTCTCTCTCTCTCTCTCTCTCTCTCTCTCTCTCTCTCTCGTTAACAGGCATTAGCCCAAAAGTTTCGCCGGTTTATGATTTATGTTCATGCCAAAGGGATGATTGTTGATGATGAATATGTAATCATGGGATCTGCAAACATTAACCAAAGATCAATGGATGGTTCAAGGGACACAGAAATTGCTATGGGTGCTTACCAACCACACCATACATGGGCAGCTGAAAAGAATCTTCATCCACATGGCCAGGTTTGAAACCCTTCAGCAACTCTAATTACTCAGTAGAATGTCCAAAATGCAACTTCAAAACTAGTTTTAAATCTATGCATGCATTCCTTCCCATATTGATTAAAAGCAACTTTGGTTTGATTGGATGCAGGTATATGGCTACCGAATGTCTCTCTGGGCTGAGCACCTTGGTGGACTTGAGGAGACTTATCAAGATCCTGAGAGCCTTGAATGTGTTAAGCATGTCAGCGAGATTGCCAAACAGAACTGGAAAGCATTTGTGTCTGAGGAGCATAAGGAGATGAAGGGACACTTGATGCAGTACCCAGTTCAGATTGGCAGAGACGGACAAGTCAGTTCATTGCCGGGATACGAATCATTTCCTGATGTTGGTGGTAAAATTCTTGGAGCACCCACCAACCTTCCCGATGCTCTAACAACATAACCAGTTAATTAAGACTTGCAAAGCAAGCTTTAACATATGAGTTCCAACATGTTAAAAAACACATGCATGTGTGATGTACAGTGTGGTTAGTTTCAAAGGGAAATTTTGCTTCCATATAAATTCAGACTGCCCAACTTTAACATGCCTTTATGCCAAGGCTGCTTTAACATATCCACAAAATTTTGCTGTACATTTTCTGCACTTCCATTTTTGTTGAAGAATGTAAGGTCTCATATTTTTGTCATTTTGTACATAAATAATATCCTAGTATTATTTATTAAATAAGGATAAAACAATACATTCACAATCTATTAAAAAAAATTAAAAAAAACATATACTGCAGTTGTCCATATTAAAAAGAAATTTACAAAAAGGATCATATCTAAGACTTTGGGTCATATCTGTTGATGCTCTTTTTGGGAGGTCAACTTAGATAGAGGTGGAATGGTGGATGATGAGTGAAGGTGAGGACCTCCAGCATGTGTGTAAAGATTTGGCAAGCAATGGGCAAGCGATAAATATAAAAAAGACAAGATATACGTGGTTCATCTTTAATGAATAGGCTACGTCCACGAAGAAGTATGTTCTCATTATCATAATATATGTTTACATTTGTACAAGGGGTTGGACCTAAATATAAAGATAAAAATGGGGAAGCCCATGATTAAAGATAAAGCTCATCCCATGGATTCAGAAAGAGAGTCCAAGGCCCAAGGGTCAAGATCCAAGACCCTTTTCTAAGTGGAGAGTGGTCTTCTTTTATAGGTGAGGAGGAGTCTTCACTTTTTGTAGTTTTTCGATGTGGGACTCCTCTTACTTTGCTTAGAGTTGTGACTTGTGGTAATGCTTCTTTGGCTAAGGTGATAACCTCCTAAAGCATGGCACGTGGATGATTTAGCCAAGCTAGTTGCTCGGTCAGTTATGGTACCAACAGTAGTCCCCAAAGTTCGCGAGTAAGAAAGTACTTCTTGATTGGAGACTTGTAATTTCAAGTGCACTGGCCGAGCAATACTACAGTTCATCTTCCAAGCTGTATAGTGCACTACCCATAGTTCCCCAAGTCCCCAAGTAAGAAGGACATTGGAGGGAGAGAACTTGGCACGAGGGTGCCGAAGGTTAAGGGGTTGCCGAAGGCACAGAGTTGTGTGTCGCAGGGTAAAGTGCTGAAGGCATCGCTTGCTCCGAATGATGGAGGGGTGCCGAATGATAAAGCTTGTAGAACAACCTCAAGTCCCCATATTTTTACTCTTCAAAGAAGTGCCGAACGGCACTTTGAATTGAGATGTGCTGATTGGTGGCAGATATTGGTCCACATGCAATCCTCAATAAAAGCCAAGCGAGATGGTCTCTTAGGCAAGCATGGTATACTTGGGGCTTTATGATTGCCTGGAGATAAAAATCACATGTTTTTTTATTGTCGTTCAGCAATTGCAGATGAGGTGGTGTTTGGTGATGTGCATAAGATTTGCTTCAGATGTAGCTTGTCTAAGATACTTGGATTTGGTTGTGCCGAAAAGAGTTTGGGCATTGGGTGTTGTACAGCACTTCCAACTAGTTGTTTGTCTCCTTGAAGCGAACCACGTGGGCTTTGGGTACCCAATATTTTGCCAAAGACGTGTAGAAAGAATATACAAGGGCCCCCAAACTTTCTTCTTCAAAGAGGTGCCGAATGGCACTTTGAATTGATATGGTGGTTTGGCCATGCAAGCCATGCATGACATGAAAAAGGGTAGCTACATTCTGAATGGCTAATAGATTAGTGGACTTGTACCATTCATGTCGGCAAATGGGAATAAAATAAAGACACAAGATAAGAATTGGAGATCTTATCTTTTGGGAGCCCACTCATCAATATTCATCAAAGGTGCCGAACCGTAGGGCAGGTAAAGGAGAGTTAGGGTGGCCCACATAGGGCAGGTAAAGGAGAGTTAGGGTGGCCCACATATTTCCTCTTCTTCTGGACTATTTTATTGCAAGGATTCATCTTCTGCATCACTCTTGTCGAACAACAAGTTAGGTGATGTTGATTGTAGGGCTGCCGAAGGGCACTTAAGAAGGAGAGAACGACAGAAGTCTTTTGTGTCAATTCCCACAGACAGCGTCAAACTGTTGATGGTGGATGATGGGTGAAGGTGAGGACATCTAGCATGTGTGTAAATATTTGGACAAGCAATGGGCAAACGATAAATATAAAGAAGACAAGATATACGTGGTTCATCCTTAATGAATGGACTACGTCCACAGAGAAGTATGTTCTCATTATCATAATATATGTTTATATTTGTACAAGGGGTTGGACCTAAATATAAAGATAAGAATGGGGAAACTCATGATTAAAGATAAAGCTTATCCTATGGATCCAGAAGAGAGTCCAAGGCCCAAGGGTCAAAGATCCCATACCCTTTTCTAAATGGAGAGTGGTCTTCTTTTATAGGTGAGGGGGAGTCTTCACTTCTTGTAATTTTTCGATGTGGGACTCCTCTTGCTTTGCTTAGAATTGTGACTTGTAGTAATGCTTCTTTGGTTAAAGTGATGACCTCTCAAAGCATGGTACGTGGATGATTTAGTCAAACTAGTTGCTCGGTACCAACAGTAGTCCATATTAAAAAGAAATTTACAAAGAGGATCATATCTAAGACTTTGGGTCATATCTAGGACAGTTTAATAACGAAGAAGAAAGAAGAGGTTAAAGTCAATGTTCAAACACCTTCCGTTCTTCTGACCGCATAGCGCAGTGGATTAGCGCGTCTGACTTCGGATGAGAAGGTCGTGGGTTCGACTCCCACTGTAGTCGATTTTATTTTTAGAAGGAGGAAATCTTTGAACACTGACTTCTGGAAATTGAAGTTTCAGGTTGTTTTTTTCCTATTATTTTTGGTTTCTGTGAAGACTGGGGAAGACTAGAGGTAAGAAATGGAACATCTTGTGCTGTGGGTTTTATGTTGATATTTTTCTTTTCTTCAATTAAGCTCAACTATTGTCTTAGGGAGGCACAACTGTCAATTTTACATGATGCAAAATTTCAATCAATTTCGGTAATTAAGCACACAAATTTTAATTTGTTTCTGTCTTTATAATGGGAACTTGAAGTCTTCTGGTACGTTTATCTTTCAGGTTGATTGTGGGGCTTTACACATTCTGGGTAAAAATGGCTTCCATGGAACAACCCTCACCTCTGAAGCGGCGTGAGGCTTCTGCGTCAAGAAAAGATGATAAACTTATCATAACTCCTTTAGGAGCTGGTAATGAAGTCGGCCGCTCTTGTGTGTATATGTCCTACAAAGGGAAAACTGTGTTGGTATGCCATTAACACAAATGCATTATCTTTTTTTGAGTATTGAATCTAGAGTTATTCTTCTTCTCTCTCTTTATTCTAATATTTTTTTTTTCTCATGTTTCTTGCTTTTGTGATTTTGGTTTACCTTCCCATGAATGATAGTTTGATTGTGGAATTCACCTCGCATATTCGGGCATGGCTGCTTTGCCGTACTTTGATGAGATTGATCCTTCCACAATTGATGTCCTCCTCATTAGTCAGTATGTTTTTTTGTTCATTATTTATTTATTTTTATCGTATGCTTAACTCATAAGTCATAGCATCAATACTGCAATGTCCTTGCTTCTCCTGCAGCTCTAGTATTTTATTTGTTAATTGCTTATGAAATGATAAAACCATCAGACATGACCCGTTTGGTCAAAATGTTTCTTATTTTAATTGAACGAGCTAACCATTTAAGTGTTTACTCTGGTTGAGTAGAACTTTGTTTTTCTTTCTCTCTGACTAATTTCTTAGAGTTTTAAGAGATGAATTTTAATAGGAAAACTGCTTTGTGCTTATTTCCTTGATTTTCTTATCAGTTGAAAACATTGTATCTAATGTAGGAAAAGTAGCTCAATTACCAAATTTACACAGAACTAAATGTCCAATACCAACTATTTACAACAAAGAGCTTTTACACCAAAATGATGTAGGATAAAATAGATAACACCAAGCAATATTCCAGAAGAAGTGATGGTTTGTTAAGAGAAAAAAAGTTATGTCTGAAGTTGAATTAATGGCCAATCAAGGGAATCGGTTTTGGTTTTGAAGTTCTTAAGCTGGAATAGGTTATTATGCGTTCAAGGTTTGGAAAGAGGCGAAAACTGAAAAGGTTTTGTTTAGATTTGGGTAGCAGAAAACCTAGACTTGGTGACAGCTGTTTGTGGTGTCAATGCAATCACACTAATGCAGGAATTGAAATAAAAAAAGAGGAAGGGAAAAAAACACAATTGTTAGGAATCTTTCATCCAAAATTTTTTTTTGTTAAGAATCCCTTGTGGCCAGAGTTGCATGAAATAATGTTCAAATATGGCCTTATACCTTGGTAATTGTTGAAACTCATTTTCCATTAGAAAAAAGAGAGTTAAATTTAAGGTGCTTAGATTCCCGAATTCTTATAGGACTGGACTTTCAAATAGGTATATTTCAGCATATGATGAATAGGTATGTCTGCTGATATTGAATATGACTTTGTATGTAGGTTGAGTGATACTGAAAAGATTACTTTTTTTAAAATATGGATTTAATGTACGCGAGCTTTTTAAGATGTGATTATTTTAATAAATTTATTGAATATTATTGAAGGAAAAAGTCAAATAATATATCATGAATTCTTCTCATGTTTTTATTTACATGTGATATTGTCTGGAATTTCATTTTCTTACCATTTTCCCTTGTCTATTATGTCTCCATGATCAATAATTCCTTCTGAAATATTGCTGCTAAGAGGGGTGTGGTCCCCCTCCCCCTTAATTCTCAGATTTACATATTTTACATTACAAAAGATACAACACATAAAAAATACTAGTAGTAATTGGCATTAGAATCGAAGTGGATCAGCAGTTCACAAAAGATACATCCCTCATCCTACAGTTGATAGAAAACCACAAACAAAATAAACGAGAAAATATCCAACCAAACCTGCAGAAAACATAACAAAAGCCACCAAAACAACAATCAGGAAATCGAAAGGTTCCCTTCTTAGGGCCAGTTGTACTATGCTCTTCTTGACAATCACATAAAGATTTTTTGTAACATGTAAGAAGTCTTGCACCATGCACAATCACATTGTATTCTACACATCGGACTTCTTTTTTTCTTTGGCAACATGGTTATAGATGTGTCTGATTTCACCTTTTGCTGCCACAGTCATGTGTGGAAGTGTTACCTCATTATTGTAGACTCTTCATCCAATTGTACTAATATTGGTCATACTTTTTGCTTGCAGTTTTCACTTGGATCATGCTGCTTCCCTACCTTACTTTCTTGAGAAGGTTTTCACTTTCTGAATGAATAAATATATAATTAGTTTGTATTTTATTTTCCAGGGAGCTAATAGCTCTATAACTTTTGATAGACCACGTTCAAGGGCCGAGTCTTTATGACTTATGCAACAAAGGCCATCTACAAGTTGCTTTTGACGGATTATGTGAAAGTGAGCAAAGTTTCAGTTGAAGATATGTTGTTTGATGAGCAGGACATAAATGCCTCAATGGATAAAATTGAGGTTTGTTGTCTTCCCATGACCTGTGTGTTTATTGCCACCAGTTTTTGTTCCCAACTGAACCTCCTTGTCACAGATTTATATTAAATTTGAGTTATGTTGTTTCTAATGATGTATGTTTGAACCAACCAAAATTTTCCAGCATTACAGCTTGTAGTTGTGGCTGTGTTTCATAGGGGATGTATGTTTTCTCTCTGCCAAAATTCCAAGTGATTTGTGCAGAAAAAGTAGTGCTTTCAAGAATCTGAGTTCAGTCGACATTTGTTGATCCGGTTAATATTTTAGTTTGGTGCAGGCCAGTTGGTGATATTAGTACTTTGAATTGGTTAACATTTTGGTCATTGATAGACTCAACCTCACCATCTTTACATCATTATCCATTTATCTCTATTCAGTACAGTCTTAATCTGAATACTGGTTTTCGATCCTTAATCCTTTACACCCAACAAGACATGAATGATTTTCTCATGATTATTGTCTAACACTGTATGATAATTGTAGGTTATTGATTTCCATCAAACGGTAGAGGTTGAGGGCATTCGATTTTGGTGCTATTCTGCTGGTCATGTCCTTGGTGCTGCTATGTTTATGGTTGATATTGCCGGCATTAGAGTCCTGTACACTGGTGATTATTCACGTGAAGAAGACCGGCATCTTCGTGCTGCTGAGACCCCACAGTTCTCGCCTGATGTGTGCATTATTGAATCCACGTATGGTGTACAGCACCATCAACCCCGGCACATCAGAGAGAAGCGATTCACTGATGTTATCCATTCAACCATCTCTCAAGGGGGTCGTGTCTTAATTCCTGCTTATGCACTTGGCCGTGCCCAAGAACTTCTCCTGATCCTTGATGAGTATTGGGCAAGCCATCCTGAGCTCCAAAATATTCCTATTTATTATGCTTCCCCACTTGCAAAAAGATGTCTATCTGTATATGAGACATACACCCTTTCCATGAACGATAGAATCCGCAATGCAAAGTCAAATCCCTTCATATTCAAGTACGTATCACCACTAAAGAGCATTGAAAATTTCAAAGATGTAGGCCCGTCAGTGGTGATGGCAAGCCCTGGTGGTCTTCAGAGTGGGCTGTCAAGGCAGCTATTTGATAAGTGGTGCTCTGATAAGAAAAATGCGTGTGTTATTCCAGGTTTTGTGGTTGAAGGGACACTAGCTAAAACAATCATCAATGAACCGAAGGAGGTAACTCTTATGAATGGACTCAGTGCTCCTCTCAACATGCAGGTCCATTACATTTCATTCTCTGCTCATGCAGACTCTGTTCAGACAACTGCATTTTTGGAAGAGCTGAGGCCTCCTAATATAATCCTTGTTCATGGAGAAGCTAATGAGATGGGGAGGCTCAAACAGAAGCTGATGACCCAGTTTGCTGATCGTAACACCAAAATCCTCACCCCAAAGAATTGCCAGTCTGTTGAAATGTATTTTAACTCACAGAAAATGGCAAAAGCTATTGGAAGGCTTGCTGAGAAGACCCCTGAAGTTGGTGAAAGTGTCAGCGGTTTACTGGTAAAAAAAGGCTTTAGTTATCAAATAATGGCTTCTGATGATCTTCATGTCTTCTCACAGCTGTGCACAGCAAATGTCAGACAACGGATTACTATCCCGTTTGCTAGTGGCTTTATTGTGATAAAACACCGGCTTAGCCAAATATATGAGAGTGTAGAGTCTTCAGTGGATGAGGAATCTGGAGTGCCAACATTGCGAGTGCATGATCAGGTGACGGTGATGCAGGATACAGATAAACACATTTCACTACATTGGTCGTCAGATCCTATAAGTGACATGGTGTCAGACTCCATTGTGGCTCTTATTTTGAATATCAACCGAGAAGTCCCCAAGGTAGTTGTCGAATCAGAGGACGTAAAAACTGAGGAAGAGAACGGGAAGAAGGTGGAAAAGGTCATTCATGCACTTCTTGTATCACTCTTTGGGGATGTGAAGCCTGGAGAAAATGGGAAACTCGTAATTAGGGTTGATGGGAATGTGGCACAGCTTGATAAACAGAGTGGGGATGTTGAGAGTGAAAATGAAGGTCTGAAGGAAAGAGTAAAGGCAGCATTTCGTCGAATCCAAAGTGCAGTGAAGCCAATCCCTCTTTCTGCAACTTAGCTGCATTGCTTCGATGTTTACGTTGCTGTATTTTGAGTTACTTTTGAATTTTGTAAGCTAACAGATGAATACTAAACCCATGTATATAAGTTATAACAGCTAGACACTTCAATTCAAAGGATTGGGAACCCTAGTATTATTAATAAAAATCTATATAGATAAAGTCAGAAGACCTTGAAATTGGAACATTCAAAATTTCACATTTACCCTTGGTTAATGAAAATACTAAAACATAAGACACTTTATTAAATAAGGATAAAACAATACATTCACAATCTATTAAAATTATTAAAAAAAAAACATTTACCGCAGTTGTCTATATTAAAAAGAAATTTTCAAAGAGGATCCGGAGGAAACAAAGTGGGATACATGTTTTGGTAAAATTATATGAGTTTTTTCCTTACCCCTAGTTTAATAATGAAGAAAAAAGGAAGAGATTAAATTTAATTTTCAAACAACCTCCATACGGACCGCATAGCGCAGTGGATTAGCGCGTCTGACTTCGGATCAGAAGGTCGTGGGTTCGACTCCCACTGTGGTCGATTTCTTTTTTAAAAGGCTTTTATTTATTTTTGAAAAATAAGGAATAGCATGGAGGCCTGAAGCTTACGGTCCCACAGCGACTAGGAGCTGTAATTTCTCTCTCTCTCTCTCTCTCTCTCTCTCTCTCACTCTCACTTTCTAGGGTTTTAGCTCTCTCTGCATTCTCAGAAATCTTTGAACACTGACTTCTCTCTCTCATTTTACTCCCATCTAGCTGTAATTCAGCTCAACTTTTGTCTTAGGGAGGCCCAACTGTTAATTTTACATGATGCAAAATTTCAATTTGTTTCTGTTTTTTGTTGTTGTTGTGGATAAACATATTTCAATTTGGGTATATAAGCACCTGTATGAATGGCTTTATCTACTTATTGTAATTGAAAATTGAAGTCTTCTGCTACGTTTATCTTTCAGGTTGATTGCAGGGCTTTACACATTCTTGGTAAAAATGGCTTCCATGGCACAACCTTCACCTCTGAAGCGGCGTGAGGCTTCTGCATCAAGAGAAGATGATAAACTTATCATAACTCCTTTAGGGGCCGGTAATGAAGTCGGCCGGTCTTGTGTGTACATGTCCTACAAAGGGAAAACTGTGTTGGTATGCCATTAACACAAATGCATTATCATTTTTTGAGTATTGAATCTAGAATTCTTCTTCTTCACTCTTTTGACTCTAATTTTTTTTTTTTTCTTCTTTCTTGCTTTTGTGATTTTGGGTCACCTTCCCATGAATGATAGTTTGATTGTGGAATTCACCCCGCATATTCGGGCATGGCTGCTTTGCCATACTTTGATGAGATTGATCCTTCCACAATTGATGTCCTCCTCATTACTCAGTATGTTTTTTTCTTCATTTTTTATTTATTTGATCGTATGCTTAACTCATAAGTCATAGCATCAATAAAGTTTCTATTAAAAAAGAAGAAGTCATAGCATCAATACTGCAACGTCCTTGCTTCCCCTGCAGCTATAGTATTTTATGTGTCAGTTGCTTGTGAAATGATAAAACCATCAGACATGACCCATTGGGTCAAAATATTTCTTATTTTAATTGAATGAGCTAACCATTTAAGTGTTTATTCTGGTTGAGGAGAACTTACTTTGCCTTTCTTTCTCTCTGACTAATTTTTTAGAGTTTTAAGAGATAAATTTTAATAGGAAAACTGCTTTGTGCTTAGGGCCAGTTGTACTATGCCTTTCTTGAAAATCATGTAAAGAATTTTTGTAATATGTAAGAAGTCATGAACCATGCACAATCACATTGTATTCTACACATCAGACTTTTTTATATATTTGGCAACATGGTTATAGATGTGCCTGATTTCACCTTTTGCTGCCAAATTCATATGCAGAAGTGTCCTAATATTCTGATGATTTCTCTTAGTTTGTATAAATAAATTTTATGATACCTCATTATTGTAGACTCTTCATATTAGGTCATACTTTTTGCCTGCAGCTTTCACTTGGATCATGCTGCTTCCCTACCTTACTTTCTTGAGAAGGTTTTCACTCCCTGAATAAATAATTATATAATTAGTTTGTATTTTATTTTCCAGGGAACTGATATCTCTATAACTTTTGATAGACCACATTCAAAGGCCGAGTCTTTATGACTTATGCAACAAAGGCCATCTACAAGTTGCTTTTGACGGATTATGTGAAAGTGAGCAAAGTTTCAGTTGAAGATATGTTGTTTGATGAGCAGGACATAAATGCCTCAATGGATAAAATTGAGGTTTGTTGTCTTCCCATGACCTATGTGTTCATTGCCACCGGTTTTTGTTCCCAACTGAACCTTGCTGTCACAGATTGTACTAAATTTGAGTTATGTTGTATTCAATGATGCATGTTTGAACCAACCAAAACTTTCCAGCATTACAGCTTGTAGTAGTGGCTGTGTTTCATAGGTGATGTATGTTTTCTCTTGGCCAAAATTCCCAGTGATTTGTGCAGAAAAAGTAGTGTTTTCAAGAATCTGAGATATATGTTATGTGTTTCAATCGGTATTTGTTGACCTGGTTAATATTTCAGTTTGGTGCAGGCCAGTTGGCGATATTAGTACTTTGAATTGGTTAACATTTTGCTCATTGATGGACTCTCAACCTCACCATCTTCACATCATTATCCATTTATCTTTGTTTAGTAGTCTTAATCTGAATACTGGTGTTGGATCCTTACTCCTTTACACCCAAAAAGACATGAATGATTTTCTCATGATTCTTGTCTAACAGTGTATGGTAATTGTAGGTTATTGATTTCCATCAAACAGTAGAGGTTGAGGGCATTCGATTTTGGTGCTACACTGCCGGTCATGTCCTTGGTGCTGCTATGTTTATGGTTGATATTGCGGGTGTTAGAGTCCTCTACACTGGTGACTATTCACGTGAAGAAGACCGGCATCTCCGTGCTGCTGAGACCCCACAGTTCTCCCCTGATGTATGCATTATTGAATCCACATATGGTGTCCAGCACCATCAACCTCGGCACATCAGAGAGAAGCGATTCACTGATGTTATCCATTCAACCATCTCTCAAGGGGGTCGTGTCTTAATTCCTGCTTTTGCACTTGGCCGTGCTCAAGAACTTCTCCTGATCCTTGATGAGTATTGGGCAAACCATCCTGAGCTCCAAAATATTCCTATTTATTATGCTTCCCCACTTGCAAAAAGATGTTTATCTGTATATGAGACATACACCCTTTCCATGAACGATAGGATCCGCAATGCAAAGTCGAATCCCTTCATATTCAAGTACATATCACCACTAAAGAGCATTGAAAATTTCAAAGATGTAGGCCCGTCGGTGGTGATGGCAAGCCCTAGTGGTCTTCAGAGTGGGCTGTCAAGGCAGCTATTTGATAAGTGGTGCTCTGATAAGAAAAATGCTTGTGTTATTCCAGGTTATGTGGTTGAAGGGACACTAGCTAAGACAATCATCAATGAACCGAAGGAGGTAACTCTCATGAATGGACTCAGTGCTCCTCTCAACATGCAGGTCCATTACATTTCATTCTCTGCTCATGCAGACTCTGTTCAGACAACTGCATTTTTGGAAGAGCTGAGGCCCCCTAATATAATCCTTGTTCATGGAGAAGCTAATGAGATGGGGAGGCTCAAACAGAAGCTGATGACCCAGTTTGCTGATCGTAACACCAAAATCCTCACCCCAAAGAATTGCCAGTCTGTTGAAATGTATTTTAACTCACAGAAAATGGCAAAAGCTATTGGAAGGCTTGCTGAGAAGACCCCTGAAGTTGGTGAAAGTGTCAGCGGTTTACTGGTAAAAAAAGGCTTTGGTTACCAAATAATGGCTTCTGATGATCTTCATGTCTTCTCACAGCTGTGCACAGCAAATGTCACTCAACGGATTACTATCCCATTTGCTAGTGGCTTTACTGTGATAAAACACCGGCTTAGCCAAATATATGAGAGTGTAGAGTCTTCAGTGGATGAGGAATCTGGAGTGCCAACATTGCGAGTGCATGATCGGGTGATGGTGAAGCAGGATACAGATAAACACATTTCACTACATTGGTCGTCAGATCCTATAAGTGACATGGTGTCAGACTCCATTGTGGCTCTTATTTTGAATATCAACCGAGAAGTCCCCAAGGTAGTTGTCGAATCAGAGGACGTAAAAACTGAGGAAGAGAACGGGAAGAAGGTGGAAAAGGTCATTCATGCACTTCTTGTATCACTCTTTGGGGATGTGAAGCCTGGAGAAAATGGGAAACTAGTGATTAGGGTTGATGGGAATGTGGCACAGCTTGATAAACAGAGTGGGGATGTTGAGAGTGAAAATGAAGGTCTCAAGGAAAAAGTAAAGGTGGCATTTCGTCGAATCCAAAGTGCAGTGAAGCCAATCCCTCTCTCTGCAACTTAGCTGCGCTGCTTCGATGTTTACATTGCTGTATTTTGAGTTACTTTTGAATTTTGTAAGCTAACAGATGAATACTGAACAGTGAACAGTAACAACTACCAAATGACAAATGCAGTAACTGATTGATGTGTCAATCTACTTGGACTAGTCTTCTGTTTAGATGTTTACAATGTTTTGACCTTCCTGGCTGCTTCTTTTTGATGAATGAGTACCCAAATTTTATTACATATTGCTTCGTTGAGTCAAGTAGCAGCTGACATCTGCAAATATTTTTGAAGTAAATTTAGGTTTTAGCCAAAAAAAAATTTTCATTTTTGGAAAAAGCCAAAGCTTTTTCAAAAAAGACAGAAAAGCCTCTCAACTTTCAAATCAAAGACATGCAAATGTAAAGGATTCCTTAGGAAATCCAAAAATAAATAAGGGCAATTTTGTCCATTTTGGCTTCTTTTACAAAATTTCTCTCTCCTTTTTGTTTTTCCAAAGTCTCCCGTTTTGTCATTTTTTACATAAATAATATATGAAACTAAATTCAAGTTACAACAGCTAGACACTTCAATTCAAAGGATTGGAATAATCTTAAAATTGAAGCATTCAAAATTTCACATTTACCCTTGGTTAATGAAAATGCTAAAACATAAGACACGTTATTAAATAAGGATAAAACAATACATTCACAATCTATTAAAATTTTATAAAACATTTACCGCGGTTGTCCTCTTCTTTCTTCTGAGATAGTTTAATTATAAGAATGAAGAAAAAACGAAGAGGTTAAAAGC